GTCTTAGCCTCTAGTTTCCAATGATGCCGGCCATTAGGGGGTGGGGCTAAAAATTAATACCTGCTGTTGCATTGATCCCGCACATGTCAGATTTGTTTACACAGCTATAAAACAAAAAGTATTTGATAATATTTTGAAACACCTTTTTGAAATTTTAAAGCGGCAGTTTGAAAGGCATGTGGATGAAACATCATGGGACTCTGTTTTGGCCATTTCTATAACTGGATCAACATGAAGAGGTGTCGGCTGGGCTGCTAACCGGGCCCGCCTGGACCAAGGGGTTAAAGCAGATCTGAGTTTTTAAGACACTATTAAATGGAAAGTTGGGAAACATTTATGATTAAAAGAAGACACCTAACTCAAGCTGCTGCACAATGAAATAAATCTTTATTAATAACTTCATTCTTTGCCAACACATTAAAATCTTTCAGTTTATAAGATTCTAGGAATACATCACAGTTCAACATGAACAATAGCTATCACAAACGCGTTAAATGCGTTCATGAAATAAGACACATAACTCCTTATGTGATCAAAGGCAACAAGTGAAAGTGCTAAACTAACTGTCGCTTAAACTGAACTTACTACATAAAAAAACAGCAATATTTGAAATGTTGAGGTTTACGTTTCACTTAAAAAGAGTTTGGAAGGCAAACATTTTTCTGGAATAAAACAATCATGTTTTTCAGATACAGCTTCAAGATGAGAAATGATTCATGGTTCAATAGCCATAAATGACAGGAGCATTTGGTCAGTTAAATCTAAGTTTAAGAGAAGATCATTTTGTGACTTCAGATGGTGAAACTTTAAAAGGCTAAAGTTTTGGAGAAAACATGCACAGATAAGACACTGAGGTGGTGGCCCTTAACGTTGTTAGTGGAATACAAGCAGGTATTGCTGTCAGGTTGCTCCCTCTATTGTCTGATGCGATGGCTGCAGCTTCTCAAAGCACATTTGCATCTCAGTCAGAGGCAGAGAGAGTTCAATACTCTGTGACTGCAGCTGGAAATTCTCAATCAGCTCCTGAAAATAGTTAGAAGTAGGATCATTATCAAAGAAACAAGCCAAATTGGTTGCAGGAGTCAAAATCAACGGTGGAATCTTACCGTTGGCAAGGTCAGGTCTGTTAGCTTCTTCCAATAGGATAGGACTTCTTCCTCACTCAGTATTCCTTTGTTAACCAGCTTTCTAACAAGGAACAGGTAGTTCTTCTTCTAAAAAGAATACATCAAGACAATTTGTTAATTTAATTCTACAAGCTCAAAATAATCAAATCAAACTGAGGGCTGATAAGGTAGATTGAATGAAATAAGCTGCAGTTTACAACCCAGGGATTAGATGCATATTAAAGAGCATCAACCATACATATCGGTCCCTTAGCAAAGGATGCATTAAATTACATTTCTAAGAGCATAATCTCAATTAAAATTAAATATATGCAACAACTTTTAAACAGAATCACCAGTGATTTATTTATAGGCATCAATGCTGCTTCTAAAATATTCCCATCTAAAATCTCCTGGTATCTCAAAAACTTCATTATGCCATGCACTTGAAAGAGAAACTGGCCCACAGCATCAGTCATCCTTCACTGTACTTAACCGTTGGCATTTTTGCATATATGCATCCTGTATCCAAGCCAAAACTACCCAGAATATTTATCAACAAGAGGCTTGTTGTGAGTGTGATGTAAACAAAGCTCACATTTGTTCACCAGACCATGAGACGTGTCTCTAAACGTAAATGTCTTTGTTTTCCAAGTGCATATGCAAAGATTATTCTGGCTTTAGGATCATTAATTTATAAGGTATCTGAAGGTAATACAGTATTTAAAAGAAAAACCCAGATGTAACATAAAAAAGCTGTAAAAAGCCACCAGAATGCAGTGTGTAACTCAGCACAGCATAGTTGATCATACCTCTGTGTCATTGGCCTTTAGCACAGCAGCTACAGTGATCGGGGTGAAGAGCTGGTGGAGGGGAGCAGAGGCGCCGCAGCCTCCCTCCCACAGCTCGGCAAGCTGCTCCAGAATTTCTGACACAGAAGGCTCTGACCCGGCGCTGGGATCTACAGCAACCCCTCCATGCCTGCTGCCCCATGATGAACGCAATGGCAGCTCTCCAGACACTAAACAGGCACAAGTAACAACAGAGAGATACATCATAAGGTACAGCTCATGCCTCTGTAATAAAGCCTGATTACAGTCTATAACCTCTTACCCAGCTTGCAGGCGAGCAGCACTGTACAGTTCTGAAGCATCTGCTCTGACACAGCGCTTAAGAACTAATCAAGAAAGACACGTGAAAAAAAGAGTGTTATCCACATGCAACACTGATATGTTGCTAACAATTGTTTTCTATACCTTTCTGCACTCTAACGTGTTTCTGACTCTTTGAAGTTGTCTTCTGAGCTGAGAGCCTGTCGGCAGCTCCTCATCTGTCCTGGGGCCCACGGCGATGCTCAGGATCTCCTAAATAAGAAAGAAACTCCAGATCATTTTACATTCAAGTCAGAAAACAGCCAGATAGAGATACAGCAGGTAAGATAAGCAGGGTTATTTAAATTAAATTGGAAGATTTCAAGCAAGAGCAAAATATAATCTGAATTCTTGACATTTCTTCCCTTTTT